CACCCTGACCCGGCACCTCACCACGAGGACTCAGGCTGCACAAACTTGCTTAATTAGGAAGGTAACTGGGCTGCAAAACAGTCATCTGATAGGTTTCGACGCCAAAGAGAAATTCCTCGCAGACCCTCTGCTGTTCTAGATTAGCCATGCTCCGTTAGCTTGAATTACGGCGCGGCCTCTGTGGCCCAGACGCAGGCCAGCACTGTGCGCTTGATTCCTGGGCCCAGAATCTGCATCGCGCCCGGGAAGTGCTTGGAAGCAGTAGTAGGATGGGGGGCTCAAGACCCACCTGGGCCCCCTCCAAACCTAAGGAGCGGGCGCCTGTCAGCTCAAGGCAGCATCGCCCGGGCCTGCGGATACCCAGCCTTGCTCTTGAGCCACACCACCTCCACGCCCCTTCCCTACCCTGCGGGTCAGGCATCCTTCAAGAATTTGGTGTCAATGGCAGAAGCTTTCTGCAGTGGCTCCTGGGTAAAATTGGAGCGGAGACAGGGGCAGGCTCCTCCTGAGTGTAAATAAGATCAGAGCACAGCGGCCACACTGCACAGGATTATTTTATTATGATTGCCCACCTCCCCCGCCCCCCGAGCTGTCCTCCATCTCATTGGCCTAGATAGCTACATCTCTCAGAATGATGGATGGGCCGCCTCTCCATTCCCAGGCAGGGTGACCAGCCCTGCTGCCGAGCCACCCCCCTACCCAGCCCCTTCCCAGATTTATTCCCTGTGTTTATGGTGCCTGGAGAGTAATCAGTGTCCTGGGCCGGCTGAGCACTCTGATTATCTCCGTTCGCTTGATGGATGGGCCTTTAGGGAACTTAGGCACCAGCCCCCTGCTCCCTGTGCCTGCCCCAGCCCACCCAGCCCCCTTCTCAACCTGAGTTCCCTTCCCCCAGAGTCGGATGATGGGCCTCCCTGCCCCTCCCAAGGGCGCAGCAATGGTGGAGGGAGGCCCAACATCCCTAGCACCCACCTCTTGGCACTGTGGCAGCAATGAGTGGGAAGGCCCTCTGTGGCTCCCCTTATCCCCAGAGAGCCTGGAGCAGGGGCAGACAGGGCCACCAGGCCACTCATCTGGGGACGGCACCCCCCCCCGCACACACACACACACACACACACACACACACACACACACANGGCACTGTGGCAGCAATGAGTGGGAAGGCCCTCTGTGGCTCCCCTTATCCCCAGAGAGCCTGGAGCAGGGGCAGACAGGGCCACCAGGCCACTCATCTGGGGACGGCACCCACCCCCCCCCGCACACACACACACACACACACACACACACACACACACACTCAGAAACATCCTGCCCAGGAAATGGCTTGACTCTCCTCTCCCACCTTCTCCCTGCATCACTCGTACCCCCTCGGCACTTGTGTACACAGCTCGAGCTGTAATGATAATTTGTGCTGCTTTATGTGTTTCTTTACAAGTGTTTTTATGTCCTCTGTGTGTGCATGAGAGAGGTTTATGGGGTGTTTGTGTGTGTGCGCGCGCACTCCTGATTAGACTCTGATTGCCATCCTTTCCCCCACGAAGGCAGGGGGCTCTCAGCCAGCTGGGCGAGGGGAATGGGCAGAGCCTGGATACTGGGGGGCAGGGGCAGGAAGTGGGGGGAAGAGGCAGGCAATCAAAGATGATGACTGTCCGAGGCGGGGTCTACACTACCCCCTAGCCGCCAGTTAGAGAATGCAGAAGGTCAGTCTTGGATAATTGTTTTGTCTATAGGATCACAAACAACTGGTTGGACTATTCCACCCCTTCACCCCCACCCCCGGCCCAGCAAATTGAACCCACTGGCTGCTTCACCACGTGGTCTCTGTCTCTTATTACTTACATGGGTCCTTATGGGGATCTGCGTCTGGTCTCCTCTAAATTTGAGTTCCCTTCAGTGGAAAGTGGGGATGTGAGGATGAGAGGGTTAGAAAAGGTAAATAACGCATGTGATGTGGTGAGCATAGAGCCTTCACACCACTTGGTTATTACCAGCTGCTGCTGGTCCCAGAGCCTCCATCAAAGCAAGGGGGCAGTTCCTTGGGACTGGGCAGCCCAGCCCAGCACACGGCAGGGGTCCCTCGGCTGGGTTACTGTCACTTCTCAGCTTAGGCAGGGTGCATCGCCTGCCCAGGCTCTCTCGGGCTGCTGGAAGACCACCCCCACCTCCAGATGGGCACCTGGGAAGATGCCTGGTAGCTTTTTGGAGCCATCCTGAGCTCTCTGCCTAAAGAGTAGTTGGAAGCAAGAGTTATGTGCCCTCAACCAAGGAGCCCCATGCGCAGCCTTCTGGCCACCCAGCGTGCTGGATGCCAGCACTCATGGGAACCCCAAACACCCCGGGTGTGCGTTGCCACAGGCTACTTCCTGCACTCACAGTGTGGGCACCAGCGTGTCCTTTGGCCCACGCCGGGGCGGGGGCGGGGGGGGGGGCAGAGGTGAGCAGTAAATATAACATCCCCTCCTGGGGTTTCCCTGCTAACAGGAGATGTGCCTGCCCTCCGACCTCACACACAGCAGATGTTTTAATGCACACCGGACAGTGGCTGGGAGGTAGAGAGAACGAGCAAGGCCCAAGCAAACCCGTCACTCTTCCTACTGCCTTCCCTGCTTGGCTGTGAAGGGGCTAGGAACAGGACTGCACTCTGCTGCACCCTTAGAGGTGGGTTAAACATCTGAGCCTGTGCGTCCCCCTCCCATCCTCAGATTCAAAAAGAGCCTCCCAGCTGGGCTATCATCTGAGGGTAACTCCCTTCCCTGTGGAGGATAGACAGAGTAAGTCAGGAGAAACCGAGCATTAGAAGGAGAGTCAAATGATATATTTCTTAAAACCCCTCAACTGCATCCCGACCAGTTGGTTGAACATCCAGCTTCAGCATGAATACCCCCAACGATAGGGAACTCACCACCCTCCCGTGGAAGCCCCTACAGCTCTCACTGCCCTGGATCCTCCCTTGCACTGGGCTGAAAGCTGCATGTCTGAAGCCCCCACCCATTAATCCTGCTGCCGCCCCCTGGGAATCTCGTGGAGCACATCTGATCTCGCATGTGACGTACTTCAGGCATTGAGAGAGTCTCCAGCTCTCAGCCTTCTCTCCCCTGAGTGCTTCCGACCAGACCCGATACACCTGGACATCTGAGGTGCGCTCCGGGGAACCAGGTTGTCTTGATCCCCGGTGGCGGGTGTGATGCCCCAAATATGGGCTGACCTGCCCGAGGTTTCTGGCCGAGGATTTCCCCGGCCGCCACCACCCTCCGAGGATCAGGGAGGAGGCAGTGTGGGTCCGCGCTTTCACGCTTCCCCACCTCCACCTCACCCCTTCCGAACCCTGTTTTCCTTTGGATTAACAATAAATTGCAGTGAAAGATCCGCTTATCTCCAGTGGGAATTAAGGAATTAAGTTGGTGATGGGGAGAGAAGGGCCTGAGAAAGGGAGCATATTGCACAGATTCAGGGCATGGGGAGGGCGGCGGGGAGGGGGGCCCACTGCCTGCTGTCACTTCGCCCTGGAGACGACAGGAGCAGCCCCTAATTCTCCCAGTAGCCTGTGCCTTGATGGGGGGGGGGGGGCAGTTGGATGGGTGTGGTCACCCGTGGGAGGCAGGGCACCGCAGGGACACCCACGTGGTGTGATCTGGCAGTGCCTAATGTTGCCCATTAGTGCCTCGCGACATGGGGCAGCAGCTCTGCGGCGGGTCGCTGCACTCAGAGGGCGAGCTGAGGCATGTGGCAGGGTAAGGCAGCCCACCCCGCTGTCTGACTGTGATGCAGAGGCTGTGATGGGGGCCCCCACCCTGCAGGCAGTTCATCCATTCCATCCAGGCACTACAGAGACCCCCAGGCAGGCCCTTGTGACCCGCCCTCTGTGTTTCTCAGTGGAGACTGAATTAACCCTGGACTCCTGTGGCCAGTTGTTAGATGAGGCTCTCGCCCCTGGAGGATCTGGGCTTCCCTCTATCTTGAAGGTAACCCAGAAGCCTCCCTCCGGAACCCCAGCGGCCCCACTCAGCCCCAGCCCCAGGAGGCTCAGCTTGCAACCCCTTCTCCCACGACCTACCTGTCATCAGATCCCCTCCCTAGCAGCTCATTTGGGAGCTCCCCTTCCCTCCTTTTCCCTACTCCTCCTGCCTCCCCCTGCCAAACCCTGAGGCTGAGCAGGGAGAGAGATAAGGGGCTGAGCTGCCCTCCAGAGGGTGAGGAGGGTTGGAGGTGGAAGCCAAGAGGGGATGGGTACCAAGGACACAGGTGCCTTCGAGTCATCCCGACTAAGCATGGGACCTGCCCCAAATAATAGTTTCGATCACTTGTCATCAGTCTCTCCCATCACCCTCCCAGGGTGGGAGCAGGGGTTGATGTTCAATAGCAGCACCACCGCCAGGGAAGGGGGCAGGGCACTGGAAGATAAAGCCGCAAGGCCAGGCTGGAGATAGTCTCCAGGGGAGGAGGAGGGGCAGGGAGATCTAGCGAGGCCTGGGATTCAACACCAGTCAAGGGGTGAAGCCAGAAATGGAGCCCTCCAGTCCCAGAGTCTAGCTGGTTAATAATTAGTGGCTCTGGTTAATCATTAGTGTTTTTTCCCCAATTTTAGCTCCCCCGCCCCTACCTTCTAGGCTCTGCCCAGACCTCTGAAAACGAAGCCCCCATCTCTGCCCCTGCCCTGGGCCGCCACCTCCCCTCCCCCCAGCTGGTTTCTGGTCTCTGGAGCCAGTGTGGTATTTAATCTTCAAGAGAGATTAGTGGCCTGTTTTAGCCAGCCTTCCCTCTTCTCTTTGGATGCCCCTAGATATTTCCTGCTGGAAGGGCAGGCCCCCCGACCACCCCAGAAGGCGTCTCCTTAGCAGGGCCGCTGGCCTCTGTTGACTCACTTGGCCGACCTTGCCGACCTTGGGGTGACCCTGTGGGTAATGCTTCCCTAATCCTTTAGGTGAGGTCAGTTAGTCAACAGATGTTTATCGACATGTGCCAGGTCCCCTGTGTCAAGAAAAAGTACCTTAAGCAGCTCAAACAGAGGCTAACGGCTTTATTGAAAGGCCAGTGTGTTTCAGGGGGCACTTGAAGACCTGGTAACTCCCCAAGTGGAAACAGGATTGGAGGTTCCGGGTGAGGAGGAGAGGGGGCCATGCATCCTTGAGTTTGGGCTTTGGGGTGACATTTTCATCTCCATCTGCTAGTAACCTTGCTGTATCGTTGTGTGGTTTTTCGGGCCTCTTCCTCAGGATCCCTGGTGCTATGCTGGCCAATGGGCACCCAAACAGCTCCTTCGAGACCTGTTTTTATAAGCTGTGTGATCAGGGGAAGGGCAGGTGGGAAAGAGGGGCCTCTCCCGCCTGTTTTAACCCTTTGCGGGAGCTGGTAGGGATGCCCTGCGCTCCAAAGAGGTGTCATCCCTGCTCGCTGGGCACCGAGATGCACAGAGCGGTCCAGGGACTTTCCCAAGTGATTAAAGAATGCACAGGGCTGTGAAGGGGACACTGGGGCCCTAACCTGGGTCCATGACCTTGAGGCTGAGACCTGGAGTCTGAGTAGGAGTGACTGAAGCGGCCCCACACCCATCCACAACCACCACCCTCTGAGACATCGTGGGGGCCTCTCCCCGTTCCTGGGCAGCCTGCACACACACCCCAGTCACAGCAAGAAGTGGAAGCATGTCATAGCCCTGCTCTGTCCGGAGCTCTCGTAAGCTCCCTGGTGCTGCTGGCTTGAGTACAGACCCCATGGTCCATGTCCCAGTTTCTGAGCCCCAGCCAGCACTATTGACGCTTGGGGCCAGGTAACTCTTTCTTACGCGGGGCTGTCTTGTGCACTGTAAGATGCTCGACCTCTACCTAGTCGAGGCTGGCAGTGTCCTTCTTCACTCCCCACCATGTGACAGTAAAAAATGCCTTTAGACATTGCTGAATGCCCCCGGGAGGCGGAGTCACCCCCAGTTGAGAACCATTAGCCTCAAGTCTCAGAACCTCCTGCGTGATCTAGTACTTTCTCTCCTCCCCTCGCCCCCGACACTGAGCTCTTTGAAGAAGATGGCTCAGCCTTAAGATCTCTGCAGGTCTTAGCTCAATACCTTGTACACAGTAGGTGCTCCATAAATGTACAGCAGACAGATGGGGGCGGGCTGGCTTCCCTCCTTCTCAGCCCCTAGTAAGCGATGAGGTTTCCTTCCTCTGCGCACCTCTCCGTGTTGTTGGCACTTTGCGTAACCCCCGTAGCCAAGATGTGCAAACTCCCGATGCTTCCCTCTCTCCTGACACCTCCCATACCCACCTCATGTTGTTTGCAGCAAACAAAAGCATCTTTTCTCATGCCGTTCCCATTTGCTGAGTATCTCCTGGGCCCCGAGCCCTGGGGGAGCAGGGGGGGCTCTGTGGCTGTGTGTGTGAGGTCGGGCGCGGCTGTGCTGTTCCACAGGCAGACGCGTGCTGGCCCGTGTGTCCGTGTGTGGTGTCCAGTCCCCACCCGCGCCGAGCTCGTGCCCTCTGCTTGCCATCTCTCACCTTGCATCCCACCAGGCCTTTGCTCTTGCTGTCCCTCTGCTTGGCGGGCCCCACTTCGTGGCCTGGCCAGGGTCCTCTCATCCTTCAGGATCCTTCCTTTCCTAATCCCCTGCCTCAAATTCATCATTTCCAACCCAGTATTGTCATGGCATTTTCGAGCAGTCCTGCCATAGCACACGGACCACATTATTAGTTAATGTTTCCTGCGTCCTTGAGCCTTGGGACCATGTCGTGTGCACACCTGTGTGTGTGTGTGTGTGTGTTTACAATTCCTGCTTTCTTAATACGTGTTTATTAAATAAATTGAAATAAATTACTTATTTTGTTTTCCAAAGCATTTTCTTTGTACTATTCTAAGCGTGTCTCTGATTAATGGCTTTGCTTAACCTTTCTGCACGTGCCCTTGTTTCTGTGCGTGCACACATCCACGTACATACCCGTGTATATGTGTACAGCGTTATTTCGTTGCACATGGATGTTTGGGTGTACATGTGTGCGTACGTGCATCTCTGTTCCAGAGTTTCTGTAGATTTAAATGTGTGCGCCGCCCCCCCCCCACCATACCGTCCCTCTCCAAAGTGGCATTCCCTCAACCTTTGCGAAGGGGTGAGGTTAGAGGGGACTGTGTGGGGACTCTCCTGTGGGCAGCTTTCTCCACCCACCTCCCGGAACGTCCTTCTGATCCCAGTCCCTGGTCTGCCGGAAGGGACCAGGGGCTTCCTGTCCATCCTCAGGTAGCCCAGGGTCGCCGGGCTGGGTTTGGGGACAGAGCCCTCTGTGGCCTAGTCACATCACACCCCCTTCACCATCCATCTCTGCCCTGTTTAATTGGAATTTGGCTAGTGGAGACCATCTGTTCTATTCCGCCTGTTTCCATGACAACCAAGTGGCTTGAGACTGAGGTTTGTAGTGAGAGAAGTGGCCTAGGGGATGCTGGGAAAAATCAGTGAGGTCCTCCCCCTCACACCTGCTCCGCCTCGCCTTCTCTCTGCCCTGCTCTCGCGCCCAAGCCCGGAGTAAGAATGAAGCTATTGCCCACTGGGGAGTCGGGAGCCCCGGCCTCACCCTCCTGTGCCAGCCCTGCTCCCCCAGGCTGCTTGGGGCTTCCTCCGGCGTCCATTCATAAGCACTTGCCCCCACACAGACCGGGGGGCTGGTCCTGCCCTCTGCCTGCCCTCCTGGAAGGGAAACCTGGAGACCTGAAAGGCTACAGCTCTTCCTATACTTCCAAGCCTCAGCCACCCCGGCCTCCAAACCTCTTCTTCACCCCAGTGTCAAAATCTTCAACCAAGGACCCCCCCCACACACACACACACCACTGTTCAAGCATCAGAAGTTTCAACCCACTTGGGATGGCCGGTCCATCTCCTCCCCTCCCCCCCTCCCATTGCTGGTGTCCAGGGAGCATCAGTCCCCAGACCTTCCAGGTAATAGGACTTTGAGGATGAGGTCCTTTGCCTCCCACCCTTGGGAGTGAGTGCTCTCAGCCCTGCTGCAGTTGCTCAGGACCACACACAAAGGACTCTGTCCGAGCACCTTGCTCCCCAGGGGTCTCCCTCAGACCCTGCTGCGCAGAGTGGGCACATAAAAGAGCTCAGAGCCCAGCAGAGACACTGGCGGCTCTGTGGCTGGACGGTCCCCGGGCCCCTAGGAGCTCAGACAGGCCCCGACACACTGGGACGTGAGTGAGGCTCTGTCTCTCCTATTTCTGGACAGTTCTGTTCTCGTGGTGTTATTTTCTGCCCTAATTTCTCCGTCTGTGGTAAAGCCTCTTCCCTGCCTGCTCTATTACCAGGGGACCTGCGTGTCTTCAAAATTAAGTGGTGGGGCTTGTCAGGTGACCTGTCTGTTGCCCAGGTCCCAGGCGAAAGGTGCCGGCCACACCTCTTACGCATAGGGAGCCGGGGAGCCTGCCCCAGATGGGGAGGTGGTCCCGGGGTCTCGTCTCCAGTGCTCTGTACCCTGGAGAAGGTCATTGCTCAGAGCAGCTGTGCCAAGCAGGGAGCCCTACATTTGGGGGTGCTGCAGCCTTGCAGAGGGTCTCCCAGTGGCCAGCCTAGGCAGAGGTGGGACCTAGCTCCCCACCATCCATTCTTCTCTGTGAGCCTCCCCCTGTTTTCATCAAGATATAATTCACATATCATAAAATTCACCATTTTAAAGTTCACAATGCGGTGGTTTTAGTATATTCACAGAGTTGGGTGATTGTCACCACGTCCTGACGGGACATTTTCATCACCCCAAAAAGCCACGCTGTACCCATCCGCAGCCACTCCCCATTTTCGCCACCCCTCCCCCCAACCCCTGGCAACCAGTAATCTACTTCAGCGCCTACGGATTTGCCTGTTCTGGACATTTCCTATAAGTGGAGTCACGCTCTGTGGCCTTTTTGCGGCCGATGCCTTTCACTGTACATTCCACATGCCTCTTTCTGTGTCACCACCCTGCTTAAAGAGCGTCAGTGGCCCCCGGTTGCTACAGGGTGACATGCAGACCCTTGTGGCCTACAGAGCTCTTTATAAAATGGCACCCGTCTCCCGCCCACTCACCCGTGCTCCAGTAGCCAGTGCTCAGCAACGTTACACCGCGCTGTTCTTGTTCCCTCTTCTCTCTCTGAGGGGCTCCTGCTTACCCTGCAAGATGCAGCTAAACGCCTCCTTCTCCTCCGATCCCTCCGTTACCCTTAGAATCACTTTTCCTCTTGGATGCCCATCGCTTTGGGTTCATACTTCAAAAAACAAACGAAACATAGCATTTAACTCAAGAATTATTTGTTTTCACGTCTGGGTTCCCTGCTAGACGGAGCTTCTAGAGAAAAAGCAAATGCCTTATTCTTTCTCATCCCTCTATGCATTCTCCCGCCTCTTACCACCAGCCACCACGGCTGTCACCTCTACCCAAGCTGGCACAGTGCTTGACTCGGTATACACACGGCAACACTTCAGAGATAAAGGAAAGGGGACTGGAAAGCCAGGGCCAGTAGGGTGCATCTGGGAGAGGTGACCCCGGAGAAGCACCTGGAAGGAGGGGTGGTTTCAGCATCCTGACAGAGCCGAGACTGGCTGGGTACTGCTGCGTCTCAGAGCTGCCTTCACGCAGATCCTCAAGGTGACAGAAGGTGGGGAGGTGTCGTGCCTTCAGCTACGCAGCCTTTGTGGAGGACCTCGGTGGTCACTAGCATGAGAGATGGGGTGGAAGGTTTGGCCAAAGAGTGGCGGCTGAGTGTGGGGGAGGGGCAGCAAAAGAAAGCAGAGGGTCACCCTTAGCTAGAAAGCGAGGGCGGTGGGTACGGGAGAGGAGGGTGCCCAGACACAACAGCTTATGCAGAGGCCCAGAGGCAAGGCAGAGCCCACAGTGTCCTGGAGGAGAGAGCCCGGCACGGGGGAGGGGAAGGCGGAGGCTGGTGGGGAGAACAGGGGCCCCGTTGCCCAGGGAGCTTTACGACGAGGTGAGCATGGTGGCCTTTACACCTGTGTCTGATGAAAGCCTCCCTATCCTTCAAGGGCCATTGAAGGATGGATGGACTTTCCCTGACCACCCCAGATGGCAAGGGTGGCAGTGATCCCACTGTCCTCTACACATGGAAACTACTGGAAGGCAAACGATGGAGCTGAAGGCAGGGGTGGGGGGGGGCTGCCTGCCACAGCCTAGCTTGGTGCCTTGGATGTCCTCCTGTACCACCTCTCTGTCCCTCAGTTTCTGCTCCTGTGCATGTTGACCACCTGAGCATAAAATTGGGTAACACTACCCACTCCAAGGATTCAATGAGCCGGGACATAGATGCTCTGAAGGGGCTGTGTGGGCCTTAACTGCCACGCGTGCTATCGGCACAGTCAACCAAATGAAGGACCCGAGGCCCCTTCCCTCCTCGTCTTTTTATGTCATTTCCAAAAGATTGGAAACCCTGGTGCGGGCAGGTCCGTTTGAAACGGCTCGAGAGCCATCGGTGCTGTATTGGGGGGTGGCAGGCGGATCACAGACATAGCCTTCACTCTCCAAGGGCAAGGGCGTGCAGAGAAAAGCTACAGTGCTGCTCGCTGGGGGGCCAGGCTACAGGGTAGCACCAAGCCACGGCCAGCAGCCTTCTCCACGGGGAGTCACCAGAGCCGCAGGCCCTCCCCACGGTGGGATCCAGTTCCCAAGGAGGGTGCCAAGCAGACCTTCTGGCCCTCCAAAAACAAAGCTGCCTAATTGCCTTTTAATCTGGGGATGTCGGTCTGCTGGTGTTGGTGCTGAATTGTAAGGGGAGATAATATCTTTCCCTTTGAGTAAAAAGTTATTTGATCTCTGTGTGTCAGGAGAAAGCCTGTGCCCAGGGAAGAGGTGGGGATGGAAGGGAAAGGTGCAAGGGGAGGGTGCTGGCTTTATTTCTCCCAACAACTATCATAAATAAAGGAGAACAAGCATCCCTCGTGTTCTGGCTCAAGGCCATTGTCTTGTGGAGGGCTTCTTCCTCACCCCTGCCCCTCCCACCTCCCTTTCAGGCCTGGGACGGGAGGCCAGCTTGTCTGCAGGTAGGACTGAGCCGCCAGCTGTCTCACCTGGAAAGGTGGGAGAGGGGGGCTCCGAGACCTGGGCACACGCCCCGCCACACCCCCTGGGGCCTGGGCTGTCCCTCCCCAGCTCTACAGGGGCTGCCGAGCTGTCCCAGGCGACTGCAGTAGCTCCCAAGAGCGGTGGGGGCAGGTCCCGCACACCTCGCCGGACCCGTTCCTCCTATGCTCACTCGCCCGTCCCCTCCCATCCTGCCCAGAGGAGCCTGGGCCCTGGACCTCCGGCCCCTGGCTCCCTCCCCTCCAGCTGCACCGGCCAGACTTCCCAGGCGCACTCCCACCTCAGGCCTCTGCACCTGGAAAGTTCTCCAAAGCAGACACATGGTTGGCATTTGGCTCTTGGCTCAAATGCCCCCTCTCTCAATGAGGCCTTCGTGGCCACCCTCCACCTTAAGTAGGCCTCTGTACACACACACGTGCGTGTGCACATTGTCTTTGAAAACCGGAGCTGACCCTGACCAGCCAGGCTGCCCTGTCCCCTGCCAGGGCCCCCCTTCCTGCCTTACAGCAACCACGGAGTGCTCGCAACCTCCTCCCCTTGCAGCCCCCAGATCTCAGCGTGGTGGTCCCTCCTTTACATTTGAGGAAAGTTCTGGGAGAATCCCACCCTGAGTAGCAGGTCTTGGCGGGAGCTGGCCACACACAGAAGCTCCTGCCAGGCCGCGAGTGGAAGAATGTCCAAGGCCTCCGCCAGCCTCCGGTCTGATACTGGGCCGGGGAGGCACACCATCTTGTCCTGGGAGGAGCTCTCCGTTCACAGCCAGGGCCAGGCCGGGTCTTGGCCTGGCTCTTGCTGACTGCCGGCCGCCTGTGTCCCAGCTCAGCTGGGTCCCCTCCCGCCCCTCTCCCCGCCCTCCCTGCACACAGACGCAGCTGCATCTTCAGCCCTGTTTCTGCATCCATCCACCTGGATGGGCATGTGGCCGGGCGTTCCCAGCACCTCCAGGGCCTGCCCTCATCCTAAGGGGGAGAGTCAGACCTGCAATGAGCCCTCAGTGCTTAGCAAACCAAACTATAGATGGGGAGGTAGAAGCTGGAAGGGCCCGAGGGACCTATTTTTACACTGAGGACAGCCCTCGGTCCCTGGGAGCCCTTCTCTCGTAGCTCTGGGCTCTCTATCCAGAAACAAGTGGGGTGGCCCCTGCGAAGATCCAGAGGGAGGAGGGAGATAGCCGTGCCCTCCAGTACGCATGCAGGGACAGGATGGCAACCAGAAAATGCCAGCTGTGTGGCCTTGGGTGAGCCACTAGAGGCGCTCCTTCC